GGAATTGCCACACTGTTTCCACAGCAGCTGCACCATTTTACATTCCCACCAGCAATGTACTTTCTCCACATCTTTACCAACACTTGTTGAGAAAGTGCCCATGTTTTATTAGGTCTATGTAAGGTAGAGCGGAAGGAGAGCACTTGTCACCCATTGCCTGCAGAGCAGCCATGTCTTACCCACAGAAGACAGTGTGATCGTCCATCCGCCTCGTCTGCCTTCACTCTTAGCTGTGACCATGCCTATATTTTCCACATAAAACTTCCATCATGGCTCAGAGATGGCTTTAAGGGATAAAAGAAGAACTAAACACTCTATGATTTAGTGACACATATACATAGTAAAAGTATTAGTTTTTAAAAGGCAAGGGAATGTTAGACACTATTCTGATATGAGGTACCATTTGGGCTGACGTGGCATCAGGGAGGATTACCTTGGTATTGGTCAGGTTCCAGTTTTCAAGTTGAGAACTGATGTGCTTTGTTACCTCCATAAATCACCTATATTTTTGTATGTAATTTACATTTTAAATCTTAACTTTTATTCCACAGTAATGTGGCCCTCCATGTTGGACAAAGGTCTGGACTGGTCTGAAATGTCAAATGATATAGTTTGAGGTAAAAATAAAGAATAGGGTGAGTTTTAAAAAGCTAGATTAAAATTTCAAGGATTGCATGTATTCTTCAGTTATGTCCTTTTTAAAAAAAATTTGGTGTTAGGAGGATCTTTATGAATCAAATCATAGAGTTAAAAAGTGTAGTTTGCTATCTTGTTTTACTGTACTTACAAATAGTAAATAGAGAAAGTAGGTGACCTTGTGTAAGGTCACCACCACTAGCCCTTGAAATGAAAAATTATGGAAATTATTGCCTTGGAGAACATAGCACTATATCCATTAGCCAAACACCAGGGCTGATACTCAATATGGTGATTTCACTTACTACCCTTTTCACAGAATGAATCTCTAATTAAAAAAGCTAATTTAGCATAAGTTAATCAGCCCTATTACAGACTCATGAATAAATTTGAATTAGTCAGCAGCAACATAATCTAAGCTCAAAGGAACCAGATTCTCAAATATCAGCTAATGATAATTACAAGTAACATTTACTGAGCACTTCCTCTACCACTGACTATTTTGAATGGATTGCCATACATAATCTTCAGAAATGTTATTATTCCCATTTAACTGATAACTGGAAGTTTGACTAGTATCTTACTCAGCATCACATTAAGTAAGAGGAAAGGGAGCTGGAATCCAAACCAGGTTGGCAGTTTGACACTTCATCCACACTCTTCGCTACTACTTAATGGTTTACCACAGGTGGCAGCACTGTTGGAAAGCCAAATGCTAGAGGCTGCAAAATAGGTAGTGAGTGCTGAATTCAGTGCTCAGCCCTCTCTCATACTTCTTGAACTCTGAAATTTAAGGAGTTCGGAATCATACAACTTGAAGGGGGAATGCTAAGCTCACTTGAAATATTACTATTTCACCATTGTGGTCTTCAAATGCATGGGTGGGTAAGTGACCTAATTGTGCTCAGTTTTTTGTGTTATAACTATGAGACATTAAGAAAATACATTATGTAAATTCAAGTGGAGGCAAAAAAAAAAAAAATTGGGGGAGAAAACAGGAATTTCAAGCAAACTCCAGTGACTGGTGGCTGAGGTATCTTGAGTCAAGTGAGGTTGGTGGTAATACTTCTAGCTAAAAGGCATGAGGAGAGGAGAGGCACCAGAAAACAGCAGAGTAAAGGATTTGGGTGAAAGAACATAAAAATAGGTGGGTAGCAACCAGAGACTCATGGGCCAGAGAAGGATAAAGAAAAAGCAGAAGAAAAGTTCAGAGTGCTTCAAGATAATGTCTTGGTAGAGGAGAAATGAGAAAATGCATATATAAGCAATGAGTTCTAATTCACATTGTAATAAAATAAAGGCTTTGAGCTACTATTTTTCTGTTTTCTCATTTTTAGATTCTTTATCTCTCCCTTCACACGTGTCTATAAGCATTTGCTAGGAATCCTGGCAAATGCTTATAGACATGTATGAAGTGAGAGATAAAGGCCCAGTGCATGGATTCGTTCCTCAGCCAGGCCTGCAATCTGAGACCACTCGGGGGACGTAGGAGTACAGGAAACATAGACAGCTGGGGAGGAGCCCGAGCCTAGGCCCTGCTCATCCCTGCCCTGCGGTGCCTGCTCAGTAGTGCTGAGGCGGGAGAGGCTCGCACTGCAGCAGCTGCGCTCACCAGTCTGGCACCCGTTGGTCAGCTGAGCAATGCTCCCACTGTGGGAGTGCACTACCACCAGGGGGCGGCTCCTGTGTTGAGCATCTGCCCCCTGGTGGTCAGTGCATCTCACAGCTACCAGTTGACCGGTTGCTTAGGCTTTTATATATATATATATATATATATATATATATATATATATATATATATATGTTGCTTTTATTTATATATATATACATGTTGCCTCCCAGCATTTCAAAATCCTTATTCTTAAGAATATCATGCAATTTATCTCCTTTCTAGTAAGGTCAGATATCCCTTTTCATCTTCTCTCATTCTTTCCTGTCTTCCCTTCCTTCTTGTATAACAAGTCACCCAAGACAGAGTGGCGTAAAACAATAATGCTTTATTATCACAGTCTTATGAAATGACTGAGTTCGCCTGGGTGGTTCTCTCTTGAGGTCTCTCATGCAGCTGTAGTCAGATGGTGGCTGGGGTATGAGTCATCCAAAGGTTCCACTGGATTGGACCTCTCAGATGGCATCTTTACAGCATGTGTGATGCCTCAGCTCAGGCTTTCTAGACTGACTGGGCTTTTCCCTCCCTCCCCCTCCCCTTTCCTTTGTCTCTCCATGCACCACACAGCTTCTCTGCATAGTTAGCTTGGGCTTCCTCACAGCATGGAAGTTCCAGAGTAGCTGGACTTTCTACATTGTGGCTCTCTCTCCTCACTGAAGCATTCCAAGAAACATAAATGGAAGAAAGTTTAAAACTTGCGTCCTTGCATAGAAAGTTGCTCAGCACCACTGTTGCTGCATTTTGTTGGTCCAAAGATGGTCAGAGGGCCAGCCCAGAGCCAGCTCAGAGGGGGGAGACCACCCAAGGCTATGAATACAGGGAGGTGGTGCATCTCCCCAAAGACTAGCTATCACGTTTCTCATTTATTGACATTTCTGTCCCTTTCTCTCCTCCTTAACTGAAATATCTTGTTACTATCTTATATCTTGCTTTACTATCTATGTTTTTCTTTCTAATTGTTTATATTAAGAGCAATTGAAAGACTTCTTTTAGGAATTCTTAAGCATTCTCTCTCAAGTGAATCTGAGACATATCTTTTCATTAAGTGACATTAAAGCTTAAGCACCCAAAAGGCCCTCAGAAAAGCTGTGTGACTATTTTTCAGAAAGTCTCTTTGGGAAATCAGATTTGATTCCCTTTTTAGCCACCGATGATAACGTATCAAACTTAAAAGGCAGATCAGTTTTAGGGAAAGTGACACAGCATCGTGTGTGGGTGGCCTCGGCTGAACTCCCCAACAATATTGCTTTTCATGCTCGGCCACTAATTAGAAAACCTGCTCTCTTGTTGGGACTAAACTATGATTTACTTTCTGGTGAGACCTTTTTTTTACTTATATTCAAGCTCTTAGTTAAGCCAACACCTGTCCTTTTATTAACCCCAAAAATCAAAGAAAAAAAGAGAGAGAATCTAAAGGATTTGTTGCAGAGTCACAGGGCAGTTTCAGAAATTCTTTGTTTAAAACCTCCTACCTACAGATGGTTTAACTTTCCTTAGCTTCTGCAAATGCCGTCAAGGTCTTAGGTTCTTATAAAGTTATTGGCTTTTTTTTTTTTTTTAAGAAGCTAAATCTCCAAAGCTTTTCTCTGGTAATTATGGAGAACAACACACGTGGGAGAAAGTGGGCAGTAAACCTCATAAAGGATTACTTTGCTCATGAGATTTTACTGTGCTGCCATTCAGGAAAGAACTCACAGGAACAGCAGGACAGAGTTCTGAGCTCGGGAGAGAGCGAGGGTTCATGGTGGGAAGCAGGGTGCTCCCCTTTCCTTTATAAGGATCATGGGTTAAGCATCTGAGGTTGATACCATTTCTCTCATGCAGACTCCACTCAGACATCTGAAAGATGACTGAAAATGATGATTAGTAGTTGCAGTTTTTCACAATTTGGCTTTTCTTCAAGCAGGGAAGATATTTCATTAAAAAACACACAAACAGGTTTTAGACTCCTTCCTTTCCCAATGTGAAGAAACAGCATTGGAAAATAGCAAGCTGCCCCGTTAGTGGTTGGCTTCCTCATCTTTGTTTTCATACTTTGGTTCTATGTGCAGATCAAACAGAGACTCCAGCTGCTCACAGTGTGCAGAGTCCCCCCGCACAGGGGGGGCAGTGAACTTGATCAGAGCAGCATTTTCCATGAAGCTTTATCCTAAACCCTTCAGCAAAAACTTTCACTGAACAGCAGGCACAACTTGAGGACACATGGAGCTTCAGGCCCAGGCAAATGCACTGCTCACTGTCCTTCCCGCAGCAGGATTGCGACCTAAGACGGGCTCAGGGCTATCCCTGTCCTGTCTGCTGCTGACGGGTTGGAGGGGCTGAGCTGCAGGAAGGGGAAGGGGAGCTGGGCGGGGGTCAGGGCCAGGATTACCTGATGCATTGTTTTCTTAATTCTCACAACATCCTTGTGAAGAAGCGAAGAGTTTAAATCACTTGCTTTCAGGCAACTCAGTGAGACTAAGTATTTAAAGTATTTAAATGTAAGAATTTTATTTAATACTTAGGTAAAATGAAGGATTTTAACCCGTCTGCCTGACAGCCTAGCCAATGTTCTCTCCATCGCCCCAGTCCTCCAAGAGCCATTGGTTACCTGTAACCCACGTATGAATTAAAATGGGAGGCTTTCTTTTGAGCTGAGCCTGTGGCACCTAGTCAAGTAACAATAGTTGTCACTCTCTCTTGTTTAATCTTATAGTGGAGTACGACAAGGAGTTCTCCCCTCGCCAGCGACACCACAAAGAGTTCAAGTTCAACTTATCCCAGATTCCTGAGGGTGAGGCGGTGACGGCTGCAGAGTTCCGAATCTACAAGGACTGTGTTGTGGGGAGTTTTAAAAACCAAACTTTTCTTATCAGCATTTACCAAGTCTTGCAGGAGCATCAGCACAGGTATGGAGGCTCAGGGAAGCCCAAGGGTGGGGCTGGCCCCCTTTCTCACCCTGTCACATACAACGACCAGCGTGTCTGCGGAAGGCCATCCAAGTTCATGGGCATGATGAGGGGCGTGTCCTAAATGGCAGCGTTTAGCCAGCAGGAAGGTTTTTTGCTGTTAAGTTGAAGAATTTCCAATGATTTTTTTTTTCTTTAAGTAAGCCACTAGATGGTATTTACTAAACATCCTTTGTGATTGGAAAATATATGACTAATTGGGGATAAAATGTTTCCCACTATTGTTTAGTCCCTACTTTGAATGATGGGAGAGGATGGCTAAAATAAATTCACACATGAAAATTATGTAAGGATGCTTACAAATGATACTAATTCAAGTGGAAAAAAAGGCTACATATTTTCTTTGTGCATACACCTATATTATACATATGCATGATAGGTCTTTCAGTAAATGAGTGTGTGTGAAATGTATTATTTGGATACAGGAGACCATGGGCTTTTCCCCCCTGTGTCTGCATTACTGTGATTTCCTGAAATTAGGCCAAGTCATTCTATAAAAAAAATTGCCTTCCTAGCAATAAACTGAAAATAAAAAATAAAAAGACTTCCATGGCATGATATTTAGAGGAAGGTCTGAAGAGTAAAGTATTTCAGCAGTTAGTTCAAACCTATAGCACACAGAAAATAAGTCAATGACCTTGAATTTTGCTTCGTATTTAGGGGTCAGTTTAGTAGTTTGGGGAGGGTGGAGTGCTGGTGCACAGTAGGTTAGCAATGCTATAGACCTCTCAATGTGCATGAGGTGGGACCAGCATGTGACAGCCTGGCAATCAGATATGAAAATAAAAGTGGAAGAAGAGAATGCAGATGGTTAGGGAACTCCACACGTACAGGCTCTATAAGGGACTTGCAGCTTTGGCTTTATAAACCAAGTGCACATTTTTGCTCTAGTTCTTGGAGCTCTATTGACTTCCTAAAAATGTCCAAAAGTTTAGGAAAATACCTTAATTTATTCTAAAATTATAAATCTGTGTGTGGATCTATCACAAAATACACACACCAAGATAATAACAAATGTTAACTTGCCCCATAAAAGGTTTACCTTAGTTTTGAGAACACCATTCAACATTTGACCCTAATGCATAGTCATATCTCTAAAGATGAAAATAAATAGGAAGAAGGGAGGACACTCACCAAGTTTGGAAGACCATCATGGTGTTGAACATACACACTGATGGTTGTATATGTGAATTCTTGCTGGAATGGTTAAATAATAAGTAAAATATAGCCACTGTGGTATCTTTATAACTAACCAAAATTTCAGAATGAATGGGAAGTTTTTTGATGGCTTATTTTCACTCCTAAATAAAAGCATGCTCAATGACCTAACTAGTAAGGGCCTCTTTGGAAAAGTAAACTATTTGTTGCTAGATTTTCATCTTTTGATACTTCAGGGAGATTTGATGTTCAGTGAGTCTTTGGAACTGCTTGAGCCATTGATTTTCAATCCGCCTCATTATCTGTCCCATTATATTTTTCTGGTGGAAATAACCTCTTGGTATCTTTTTGGCTCAGAACTTTGTCAGAATACATGGCATTCTCTGGCCTACAGGAAAAGCTTTATAGTGAAAACACTAGTAGGCTTTGTGACTATAACATTCTTTTTCATTATTATTTTTAAAAAGAGAGCTAGCAGACCATTTGTAAGGTTTATGTTGAACTTCAGCCAAAAATGAGCAGCTGCCTTGAGCTTCAGATGATGGTGTCATACCTCCTCGGGGCCAGCAGTGAGGTTGGAAAACAAAATCTCCGACTGTCCCAACCTTTGATGACTCTGTCAAAGTGGAGCTGCAGTTTCTCCGCCTTCTAGGATGGAGATATTTTGTGACTGGGTGCGTTTAATTTTTATGTATAGGAAAAGGGAAAATACTGGGGAAATTGGGGGAATTTCATGCTTTTGAAGAGTTCCGGTTGGCCAGGAGGATGTTTTCTTTTCTTGTGGGTGGGCCAGGGGCCAGGCCTCCTGCTGTCCCTCATGTTCTTGCAGGGCCCTCAGAGTTAAGTGTGTGACTGGGGTGTCTTGGCTGAAAACAATTCTCCAGGCTTGTAAAGAAACTTATTTGTCTAATCTGTGTCCAGTGAAATTTGTAGTATTTGATGGATTAACTTTAACAAATGTGTGTGTTGCAAAATAGTTGGCCTCCTTGCAAGAAAAAAAAGGGGGGGGGTGGAGGGCAGGTGGTTCAATGCCCTCATATTTTCAGCTGAGGCAGAATAAGCCATGTGTTGGGCTTCCTGGTATAAAGGGCAGCTAGGAGGCCCGACCCAGGGAGGGTTAGGGAAGATTCTTTGAAGCTAGGTCATTGCTGTGATTGCTTCAGAAACATATTCCCCAGACTGATGAGAAATCATTAGACCAGGTAAGTTAAAAAGGGGACTATTTGACTAGATGGTGCTTTGAGTAAGAATAGGGAAACATGTGATCCTTTACTCAAAACCTGAGAATAAGCTCTGAGATGGAATCTATGTCCTGAAAGTGTCTGAACAACCCATAGAGCAGAGTGGGATTAGCCCCCCAGGAATGTGACAGCTAAACCAGAGGAGTCCAGGGTGCCTTTGTACTTGGTTTTGTAAATGTGCCCTGTGCTATGTATGTATGGTGTTTATACTTTAAGATGAGTTTGGTGTTAACATCTGGTGTTATAAATCATTATACTTTTATGATGACACTGGTAAAATTGGCATTTACATAGTAGTTAGAGTTTGGAAAAGACCTCATATATTCCCTCATTAGGATTTAGCCATGAGCCCATCAGTTAAGCGGGACAGGCATATTACCTATTAGAGAATGAAACGTGGTATATAGGAATCTTGCCAAGTCCAAATTATGCCTAAACTTGTCTGCTATGCTTCCCAAAGTTAGTCTGATGATGTGAGGACAGTCCCAGGATAAAGATAAAATGCCAGAGAGCAAAAACAGTCTCCTACGGGCATGCTCCACATCTCTATCTCCTTAGTCTTGGTGGGAACATCTAAGGATGTTTCTGTTTGGATAGCAAGCGACACAGTTCTCTTGAAGGTGAAAATGTGTCTTAGAATTCATTGACTTTCAAGGCCTTCCTTGAAAAACTTTTGCAAACCTTTGTTGATCTATTAACCAAGCATTGATCTATTAGCAGCTTTTCTAGAGGAGGAGTATGAAGGGGAAGAAAGACTTGAATAAATGTATACAAAAGTACTTGTACCTATTCACAGTATTATACATTTGTCCATTTATATCACCATTGTCTTCTGCATCTCAACACACTAAGCTGACTTCATACCTAGATACTCTGAATAATGTTGACCTTTCCTACTTAGGTATAGTAGCATCATGGTAGCATGTTGCTTGTCATAAGATGTATCATGATCTTTACTTCTATGGCACCTTTAGATTCATATAGCAATTCTGAGACCTTTAAAGAATATCACATTTGTGTACATTTCTTATTTGGCTAAGAGACATACATTTACTGGTTTTAATTGATTTTGTGTACTTAGAAGTGAAAGAGCATCTCCTGAGAGCCAGCCAGAAATTTTAACAGAGGAGCACGTCCAGTGTCTGAAAGAGGGCCCTATGGGTCCATGAATTGGCCTTATTTGCCTCTGCTAGTTTTGAAATGCCATGTTTTGTTCTGTTTACTTTGGTGATTGCATTGCTTAGCAGTGATAGTCTAGCTTCTGTGTATATTGATAACTTCACTTTCTTTGTTTTGTTACTCTTCACCCTCTGATATTTTTCCATTGATTTTTAAACAAAGTGGTTGGGGAGGAGGGGAGAGATAGAGAGAGAGAGAAACATCGATGTGAGAGAGATACATTGATTGGCTGCTGCTCCCGCATATGCCCCAACTGGGGTTGTAACCAAGGTATCTATCCTTTTTTTTTTTTTAATATATTTTATTGATTTTGTACAGAGAGGAAGGGAGAGAGATAGAGAGCTAGAAACATCGATGAGAGAGAGTCATCAATCAGCTGCCTCTTGCACACCCCCTACTGGGGATATGCCCATAACCAAGGTACATGCCCTTGACCAGAATCAAACCTGGGACCTCTCAGTCCCCAGACAGATGCTCTACCACTGAGCCAAACCGGTTCTGGCCAAGGTATCTGTCCTTGACTGGAATCTAACCTAGGACCCTTCAGTCCTTGAGCTGATGATGTATCCACTGAGTCAAGCTGGTTATAGCTGATAACTTTTCTTTTTCATGTTCTATCTATGGTGCATTTAAAGTAAGAAATAATTACCAAGTTTAAAATTCAGTATTGCTGGTATAAGTAGTATCACAACTTTCTCCTCTATTTTCAAATAGGAAGAGTGTTTTTTTTTTTACATATATACTTTTTAAACTTTGGTTCCTACAGGGTGGGGCAAAAGAAGTTTACAGTTGTGAGAATGTGAAACACAGAGTTGATTCTTGTATTATTATTTATTAATTATTGTTTTATTTGCTATACGAAAAACTATAAACCTACTTTGCTAGACCTGCATGTTTTATCTTAATTTCAGAGTCCTTGGGATATGAAGAAATGCATCTGTGGGTCTAGGAAACAAGGCAGTGCTGCTGGAGAGCTGGTTTTCAAACTGAGAAAGATTTCCTTAGGACAGCCCAGAGCCAGCCCAGGGTCCTGGACAAAAGCCCAGACTGAGTTATTACCTAAACTAAATATCTGACAAAATTAACCAATTCTGACCTATTTTTCAGAGAGAATATAATTGTCCGAAGAGAGAAAATAACTGTCAAAGGGCCAATTTGCATTTTCTCAAACGGTTAGATTGATATGCTACTCTGAACCACTCACAGAGCTAGGGACCACAAGAATAAGTCAGGAAGAGGAATGGGGATGAGGTCTGGTTTGGACATGGTTGAGTCATGGTAGGGATGCCCAGGAGGCAATGGAATATGGGAGTGCTTAGCTCAGCAGAGTGAACTAAGCTACATAGCAGATATTTGAAATCA